AATGGCTCTCGTGTGTATTATTGATTGCTGCTCGCGTAAGTGGTGGTACTGCCGTCCATTCCGCCATCTCGATGTTATCGCCGTGCTTGCTGAAGATCGTCGCTGCACTCGCGTGCGTGGGCGCCTCCGCCTCTGCAGGATTGGCTTCGATCTCGTCAAGCCCGATGTCCTTGAAGTTATTGGCGTGCCTGGCGTGCCCGCCATGCTGTCTCTCGAGGTCTTGCTGATTCCCGATGCCGCCCATGATTGTCTTAGCCAGGTTAGCCGTCCAGTTGCCAAGACTTGATGCTGTTCTTGTCGGCCTGTTGATCACGCCCGTGTGCTCGTGCGTGTTGTCATACCTGATGCTGCTGAGCTTGGCGCCTAGCATGATGGTCGCCGTCAGGGGCCGCGTGGGATTCTTGACGGGATCGCCCATGAAGTCCACCAGGTTGCTGCCCTCGGCGCACTGGTGCGTCATCGCGGCCACATGCTCTGAGCCTAGCCACGGCATGAACTTCCACGTCTTGGATGTCCCCGGTTTCTCCAGAAGCACGCGTGCCCCTCGACGCTTGCAGTTGAGCCAGATCTGCTTGGCGAACCGCAGGTGCTTCATGCCAGTTTTTAGCTTTATCATCTTCGTCTTCTGCGGAAGCATGTGAGATGTGTTCGTGAGCGGGTCGCATGGAAAACCCACGATTCTCATGTGAGGGCCGTCCTCGTCCAGCTGCTTCAGCACTCTCCGCTGTGACTTAATCCGCGCATTTGATAGGCCGCTTCTCCTCTGGATCCGCCTTTAGCGTCTCCACGACCTGCTGGAAGTGGTCCAGCTTGTCCTGCAACTCCTTCCCCCACGTCTCGATCTGCTTCCTCTGCTCTCGTCGCAGGATGCCCTTGTCTATCCCTTGCACCTCCGCGGTCCAGATGTCGATCTCATCCGTCGTAACTGATGGCGCTGTTTTGGCTGTTTTCTTCTTCGGCCGGTCCTTGAGTGAAGCCGTTAGGGGCCCCTGTCTTGGTCTTGCTGAGCGGCGTCCCGTAGTTGTTGGTTGCCATGAAGTCCGCCTTCCGCTCCTTCGTACAGCTTTGTGTCTAGCTCTTCCAACTGGTGGATGCTTCGCAGCATTGGCGTCTTCGATTTTGGCAGCCTCTGAAATCCTGGATTCACGCCGGCTCCTGCAAGTTCAGCTGTCACCTCCTGCTCGCCTCCTGCCATGACCAGGGCGCTATCATTCACGCGTCGAAAGCGCATGGATGAGCCCCTCATCCTCGCAGTGACCCTGCTGTCCTCCGCGTAGCCGCCCAATGCTGGTAATTGTAAACCTCCACATCCTCGTAGGCACGCCGTGCCCAGTACAGCATGTCCATCTGGAATAGGTCCTTTCCTTACCGCGCAGGTCTCGGTCTCCTCCGGCCCCTCGTAGTTCACCTGCAGCTGCAGGCCAGATGATGGTGCGCCATCCTCTGTAGGCCTGTAGTCCGTGCCTGTCCTGAGTTCTATCCACAGCCAGGTCGGTCGCCCTCCATGAGGTAGGCGCTCGAAGGTGCTCCTCGCGATGTCTCGTAGTTCCGAGGTACTGCCCCAGGATGCTTGGCACAGGTCGCGCGCCAGGTTCCTGAGCCCCTGTGGTGCCATCTCCACCGTGATGCGCATGAGCTGGCGGGTCTGGTGCAGCGCCCAGTCCACGCACCAATCCGTGCAATCCCTGTAGGCTGCGCCCACGTTCTCACAGCTGACCCATAATGCTGCAATTTGTGCTGCTCGATCTTTGGTCTTCTGTAGGTCTGCCGCTGCGTTATCTTCTTCATGGCATTCGCTGCTCGATCTCCTGGGCCATGTCTGTCTTGATCCAGATCCTGGCGCTTGGTCATCACAACCCTCGGGTTATCGTTCTTGCTGTTCCTCAGGTATGCTGTGGATCCGATCCGCCTCTCCAGGCCACTCTCGTGTACCTTGATCGTCTCCAAGTGCTGGTACCGTCTAGGTGATCACGATCTTCTCGCCGGTGTCGATCCTCACCTTCGTCAGACTCGTGATCTCCTCCATCGTGGTCTCCATGTTCGCCAGCTGGTCATTCGCGATCTGGATAGCAGTCATGTCCATTGAGCTGTCCGCCATCAGTAGCGTCACCGCCGGTGCCATCGCAAACCCTGCCCGTCGTCGAAAAGCTCCAGGTCGCCCGTGAAAGCCTCGGCCGCCACCTCGTCTTCCACGCTGTAGGTTGTTCGATGATCCGCCGCCTGATGGCCTTGTCTTCTCGCGCTCCAGGTCGCCTTTCCATAGGCCCTTTTGTGGCATGCGTTGCACTTCGCGCGAGCCTTTTTGTTGTTGAGTTGTTCTTCAGCTTCCTTGCCGCCCATCTTGGTGGATCCCTGCGAGTTGATGTTGGCCTTCCAGCCTCGATTGTACATGCTCTGTGCAAGCCTCTCCCGGGCATGCTTGCAGTTCGGCTTGTGACCTGTTCGTGCAGCCTTCCGCCCGAGACGCTGCGCCTCGGCCGCTAGAGTATCGCACCCCTCCTCGCTGACTTCCTCGGGGCCGACGTCGTCAATCACCCCTTCGAACTCGGCGATGACGGCTGCCAGTGCATCGTAGTCTTCATCGCTCAGAAGCCCGTCCTCGTCGCACGCGCCACACTCGTATCCGAGTAGGGCTTCCTCCTCGTCATCGTCGTTGTCCACCGGGCATGCTCAATGACGCCCATGAGCACGTGCGTTTCAACGCGTCGCGTCCAGCTGGGTGGGCCTCGCCGCCGCCGCGTCATCCCAGATGTAATCGTTGTTGCACAGCCCGAGAATAGCCTGCTGCTCGGCCATGCTGATATTGTTACGATATTCTCGTTGCGCAGGCTGGTGGAACCCCAGAAATGGTTCACGAATGGTCGCGCGGATGGTTCCCCAAATGGTCGCCCCCAAAAACATGGTTACCCAGATGGTCGCCCGACTGGTGGTCCCAGACGCGCGCTTGAACAAATGGCAACTCGAATGGTCGCCGAAATTGTTTCACGGCTCTGGGTAGAAATAGATCGGCAACCAGTTGCAGCATTGAGCCATACTGCGCAAGCGGGCAGCCCCGCGGCGCGAATCCCAACATGCACGCGCGCAGACGGGGGGGGCGAAGGAGGAGGGGGAGAAGGGGGGGGAAGGAGGAGGAGGGGTGGCGGCGGCGGCAGGGCGAGCAGGGCGGGGCCGCGCTCCGCCTCCTCGCAGTAGACGCCGACCCGCGCGGCGAATCGGCGGGCGCCAGCCCGCTCTCTCTCTCTCTCTCTCTCTCTCTCTCTCTCTCTCTCTCTCTCTCTCTCTCTCTCTCTCTTTCTTTTCTCTCTCTCTCTCTCTCTCTCTCTCTCTCTCTCTCTCTCTCTATATATATATATATCCCTCTCTCTCTCTCTCTCTCTCTCTCTCTCTCTCTCTCTCTCTCCCTCACGCTGTCCCCCTCTGCCCTTGTCCTCTCTCCTCCTCCTCTGCCCCCCCTTCTGCTCCTCCTCCGTCCACTGTCCTCCACCGTGCCCTTCCTCCCGCGGGCTCTCTTCCTCGCCATTCGTCTCCTCGTTCCTCTTGCCCCCCGCGCGCCGCCCACCGCCGCCCCCTCTCGCGCCTCCCCCCCTCTAGGCCCCCCTTCCCCCATCCAGCCCTCCAGCCGCTCCTGCGCCCTTGCTGGCGCCCCCAATGATGCCCCCGCGACGCGTTTAACGCCCCTCCCTCTTGCCCCCGCAGCCCCAGCCATCCACGGCACTCGCAGGAAGGGACGAGCTAGGGAGGGGGCGGGGGCGCGGATGGAGGGAAGGAGGCAGCGACAGGGGAATAAGACAGATAACGGGCGACGGCGGAAGCAGGGGCAGTGGCGAGGGAGGGGGTGGGGCTGACTATGCTATTGTGCTGGCGACGTTGGTGCCTTGTTTAAGTTCTTTGCTAAACCTGGCTGCAGCCGTGCTTCAAACGGATCGCCCATGAGTGTTCGTGCGGAGTTGGATCCAACATCGCCCGTGTCTGCCCATTCCCCCGTGCTGTGCTTGCGCAGCTCGCCCCTGATGAATCCCCCCATGTGTCTAGCAGCTGCGCAATCGAGGGCGCCGTTGCTGGCGCGAGCACGGGCCAGCCGCTGGCGCGAGAAGCGTGTCGCCACGCGCGCGGGCAGCCGCGCACGGCTGCACTTACTCAGAAACAAAACGTAGTGCACCAGAAGGCCCGCGCACGCAACAGCGCAGCAGCAGCACACGTGCAACAACTGCGTTCGCATCTTGATGCCCACCTTGTCCCTGATGTTGGCCAGCAGCGCTGCTGGCAACTTCTGGTGGAGCTTCTCTGGGAGCATCGCCAGCTGGGCCTTCAGGTTGCGCTTGAGCTTGAGCGGCGGCTCCCCGAAGTCGCGGGGGAACACCAAGCAGAGAGCCTCGCAATGCGTGAGCATCATTCGGTCGACCAGCTCTTGCGCGTCGCCGACGATCGAAACGCGGTCGGCGTTCTCGTCACCGTGGAGTGTCATGGCGTCCTTGATGTTCTGCAGCTTCCCCTGTAGTGCGTCCAGCTCGCCTTTCAGAGTGGCAGGCCGCGCGTTGGCGAAGAGCGCGGTCTTCGCGCGGCCCTGCAAGTCCTCGAGGGCCGCGTCGGCGGCCAACCCCTCGCGCCACGGGGGGGCGGCGCAGCCGTAGATCGCGGCGCGGTCGAGTTTGGACACAGCTGATCTCAACTTCTCCGCCTTGGCCGCGCAGTCGGCCTCTATCATTGCAGATGCCAGCTGAACGGCTTCCGTTGTCCAGCGATCGAAGAAGTCCTTGTCAATTACAGACTGCGCCTTGAGGTTTTCTCGATCGGAGCGCTCCAGCGCCCAGCCAGGCAGCGCTGCAAACGCTGTAAGTTCCCCCAGGCAGATCATTCTTCCCAATCCTTTATCATGCCTCCTCCCTCCGCCCCCCCCCCCCTTCCGTCGCCGCCTTCATCTCATCGCGATTTCGTTTATCACCAATGCCTCATCCATCGACTGCCTCCCCCCCCCCCCATTCCCGACCCCGCTGCCCCAGTCACCCCTCGCCCTCCCCATCGCCCCCGCTCAGGCCCGCAAAGCGCAGCGTTGCGCAGTTGGGCGCTGGGCGAGTCCACCCAGGAAGCCCCGGCGCCCCCGCCGGCGCCAGCTTCCCCGCCACGAAGCGGCCCATGACAACTCCACGCGCGTCGGCGGCCATGCGCTCGTCGAAGTCAGCGCCCAGGCCCGCGCAGGTGTAGATGGTGGCGAAGTCCCACTGCAGGCCGCTCAGCGCCTCCAGGCACGCCTTCGCCTTCGCAAGGTCGGTGGCCGGTTCCTTGACGAACTCGAACAACTGGGCGCACAGCTGGCATTGGATCATCATGTAGCTGCAAGCGTCCTCTATCTTGTGAACGTCCTCGCCAGCGCCCATGCGGTCCATGACCATGGTCACGTACGAAGCAATCTTGAGCTCCAAGTTCTCGTTCTTCTCGGCGATGCCGAAGTCGGCGTAGGTCCTCGCATGGCTGACGAGGGTGACGGCTGCAGCCTTGCGAGCTTCGCGAGGGGCGTCGTGACGGACTGAGTCAAGGGCATTGCAGAAGATGCGCAAGTGACCAACCACTGTCTGCTTCTGGGCGACTTTGAGCAAGTGGACCTGCATGGCGTCGGCCCCTGGCATCGCCAGCTTCTCCTCACGCGTCGCCGCGATGTCCTTGAGATGGCCGCAGGATTCGTCGGGGAAGGTGCCAGCCTTGATGGAAGAGAGTACCTCACCAATCACAGACAAGGTAGAAGCCTCGAGAAGCTCAGTTCATTTCTTAGACTGGGATGGGCGCACCTTGCCCTTGGCGCTCCTCTTCGCCTTCCAAGCGTTCAGCAAAATGTTGCAGTTATCCTGGAACGGGCCCTTCGGATCTACAGATGTCACCCTCTTCTCGCTATCGATCAAGCGAGGGATGAGCTCGTCAAGGTGAGGCCGACAACGAACGAACTCTGCAAACATATGTTAATAATGACCGTTCTGCTTCAACGTTGCAATCACATTGGTCTCGCCTGGCGGCGCGCTGGCGGACACGTCCTGAAGCTTGTCGAAATCAATGTTTGTGGCGCCAACCTTCTGCTGCTCCTGGAGGTCGGGCTCAATGACCATGACGATGCCACGAAGCAGGGGGCACAGCTCGTCCGCGCCATCCTCGCACGGCTCGAAGTCCAGCCGGTCGTCGTCGGACGCGGCGCATATGGCCGTGATGATGGTGGTCATCACGCGCATCGTGACACTGGCGTTGCGGACGCCGTCCTTGATGAGGGGGCAGATCGCTTTCTTGAGTGCGATATCCGTCATCGTAGCCACGCGGTCCCTCGGCGAACCCTCGATGTGGCGAAGTCGAGGCTGCAGGGGCTCGAACGCACCGTCGTCGGCGGTACTTGGCCACGCCTGGACCGTGTCGAGGAGGCTGGTAACCCTCTCCTCGAGGCTGGCAGTGCTCTGCGACCAATCCTGGAACGCACGCGCGATGCAATCATTCTTGGACTTGGTGGGGAAGTCGACGCCAGCATCCACGGGCTTTTGCAGCAGGGCGCCGAGATCGGTCCTGGCCATGCTGCGCCAGCCATTCTCGGTGGCGATCTGCTCGGCGGCCTCATTGAGTGGGGCGTGCTCCCGCATGCCGTCGCCCTCGCTCCTCCCCAGGGTATCCGCCTCCTGAGCGTACGTCCTCAGCGTGTTCCTCTGCCTCCCGAGGCTATTCTTGCCAGTCCAGGCGAGCGAGTGGCTCGCCGTGTGGAGCTGGAGCGCCCATTTGGCCTGGGCGGGGTCCGACTGCATGAGCTCGCTGACGTCGGCGATGCCCTCGCCACCAGGCACGCATCCAGGGCTGGCCAAGCGGCCGCCAGCACCGCCCTTCGGGCTGATTGGGCTGCTGAGAGAAAGCTGGGATCCGTTCGACACCACGCTGGCCGCGCTGCCTCTCCTCGCTGGGGGGGGGGAGAAGGCGCGGGCGACCTCTGCAGCGCCTGCTGTGGCGCGGCGTCGCTGGGAGCAGCCATGTTGCCCATGGCCGACTCCGCGACATCGGCGCCCTCTTCGACGTGGACGAGACCCTGGAGAGGATACCCAATCGCACCCATGCCAATCATGCATCATTCCCCCCCCCCCCCCCCCCAGCCCCTACACGGAACGGGGTGATGCACGGATCGGCAGGGGCGTGGCGTTTGGATACTTCGACTTCGCTCTCCGCAGTCGCTCTCTCCTCCTCGGCCTTCTGAATCTCGATGAGCTTGCGCTTCTCGTCGGCTCTCTTGAGGAGGGTCTTGATCGAGGGGATGGGGGCGCCGCTCGGGGAGCATTCATTCTTTGAGCTCGCCACGGGCAGATCGTGGATCTTATCTCGATGAGCTTCTCGTCGGCTCTCTTGAGGAGGGTCTTGATCGAGGGGATGGGGGAGGAGTACTCATTCTTTAAGCTCGCCACGCTGATCGTGGATCTTACTCTGTTCCTTGTGGAGGGTAACCGCAGCTCGCGACTCAGCGCCCAACTTCAGAACGGACTTTCCACACGAGATCACGAAGGTGCGCGGTGCGTCCTCGAACTCATCAACCAAGACCCCCAGGAGAGGGTTGCCTGCTCGCCCCACAGCTTCTGGCACTTCGCGCTCAGCTGCTCGGGCATGAAGCCGATCAGCCCGTGCAAGTCACTCCTCGACCAGAACCCAACGCACCGCTCGCAGCTGGCCTCGTTGCGGATGTGCGTCTCGATGTCAGTGTTGCCGAACCCCGCGGCAGTAGCATCCATGGTCACGCGATGGGAGTGCGCACAATCGAAGGGCTTCCGAAACGTCTCATCTGTCTCCGTCTTCTCGCCTATCTCCTCGCCCGCCATGTAGTTGTAGCCGATGGTGTACGTCTGCCAGCGCGGCTCGCACATGACGCGCCCAGCCCGCTTGTCGCATGTGATCAACTTCTTCTGGCAACCAAAGACGATGCAGACTGTGCGCGCCAGGCGGGCTGCTTTCTGCTGCCGCCCCGTGACATCTTTCAGGGTGTTGATGCCGCGCTTGCCCCCGCGCCCTCCTCCAATGCTGGGCGCCGTGCTTGGTGCTGCCGTGAATGCCGTGCAAGCGGAAGCACAGCTCATGGCCGATGACGGGGGCTCGCCTTGGGCATCATTACCAGCCAGAGCTTCCCTCAAGACCCTCTGCGCCTTCTTCTCGGCAGCCCCCATGCGCGGCCGCCTCGCCCCGAGACAGCCAGGCCCCCGCGGCCGAGTGAAGGCCGCGAGCTGACTCCGCTTCTGGAGAAACTCGAATCGCACACACGTATTGAGCCAAAACGGCTACGCCACGGGCGAATGGGGCAGCGGCGGGGAAGGGCGGGGGGGGCCGCGCGGGACGGGGGAATGGGGGGGGGGCGAGGGGTAATGTTCAAAACAATTACAAACATCTGTGATGACTCGGCGAGGCACATCCGACTTCGAGCATATTTGGGAGGCCTGGTGTCGACCTAAACTGGCCCGCCTTCTCGCGGCAGCCCGGGGCGTTTAAGCGCCGCCCTGGAAGCCCCGAAAGGGGGGGGGGACGCTGGTAATCCACGCATGTCGTTGACGGTAGGTGCCGCTGGGGCTGTTTGGGGGAACCTTCTGAGCTTTTCGTTGCCCACCTCGGGGCAATGCCTCAAAAGTCCGAAGAGCCCGACAGGTCCTCAAGAGGGGAGTCCAAAGGGATCCAGAGGGAGCCCAGAAGGATCTAGAGGGACCCAGAGGGATCCCGAAGGAGCCCACAGGTCCCCGAGATGGGGGCCCGACTGCGAAGGGGGCCCAGAGGGATCCAAGAGGGGCTTCGACGGGCACGGCGACCGCATGCCACTGGAACGCGCGCAAGAGCAATGCAGGCGGAATGAAGGAGGAGCAGCGTGTTCCTCCTCACCCTCTTGTCCTCCTCCTCCTCCTCGTATTTCCTCCCCCTCCTCCTCCTCCTCCTCCTCGCCCTTCATTTCTGCCTCCTCCTCTTCCTCTCCCCCCCCCCTCCTCGCCCCCTTGATCCTAAGCGCCACCAGCCCCCCCATCGGTCGAAGAGAGCCAAGAGGGAATGCGCCACAATGAGGTGGCGGCCTCACTTGCTCCCCGTTCAAGGCACTTCTGGAGGAGGTGCACATGGAAGGGGGGAGGGGGGGGGGGCTGTGCGTGCACCGAGGTTTGTTTGTTTAAGAAGAGGCTCGTTCCCACGATGGGTTACAATGCAAAGGAGGCGGGGGCTGCCCATGGCTGAATGTCACTGGAACTGCCTGCCCAGAGGTCCGTTTTGACGGTGCGCATGCGTTGTGTAGATGGTCGCCGATCCGGGCTCGCGCGGCTCGGTCATAAGACAGGGCGAACTGAACGAGACACTAGCGGCTAATAACCACGGGTGCGTGGATGGGAGGCGAAAGACAGCGGCAGGGCAACGTGCGGATGGTTACGGAGGGAGGTTATACTTACGGAGAGGGGTGGATGGGGGTGGTGGTAGGGTTGGACATGAGGGTTGGCGATGGGGATGTCGGATGGATGATGCGAATGGGGGTGAGGATAGGGTTGGGCACGCGAGGGTGAGATGGGGATGGGGGAAGCCGATGGGCAAGGCAGGGATGAGGAGGAAGGGCAGTGGGAAGGGATAGGGATGGGGGAAGGAGGAGCGGGGAGGGGAGAGGGGGGATACGGGGTGGGGGGCGACCCCCGAAATGGCTAGGGTGAGGCCCAACGTTACGCAGGGGGGGGCTAGGGGTCATGCGCTGAGGAGGCGTTGATGGACTAGTCCAGGAGGGCCTTGATTGATCGCCCCCCTCTCCTACTCTCTCCCTCGATCCTCTATCCCTCTCTTTATTTCTCTTTCTCCCCCTCTTGTTCTCGTTTGTCTCTGTCTCTCTTCCGCCTCCTCGTCTTCCATCCTTACCCTCGGTCCTCTGGATGGCTCGGCTACGCTGCAACTGCCATGCAACAGTGTTTCTACTCCGACACACCTCAGGGAACGGCGCCCAACTCTGAGCACACCCCGAGCATGCACGACCATGTGCAGACTATGCGCCAGTGCTGCGAACGCAAGAAAAGGCGCGCATGGAAACATCACGCAATGAACGATCCATCGCTACTTAGCTCTACGCGAGCGCCCACCATCGCTAGTGCACTGTGCACTGCGGTACTCTGGACCCCACGTCGCACTGCAGCAATTGAGAAACATGCATGCTGGTGTAGACAGTGCGCGTCGGCATGGTACCCACCCCTCATCAGCTGTGTACGCAACCCTACTACAATGCCAGACTTGGCCCTGCGCGGTGCACTCTGCAATGCCGAACTCGACTCTGCCGTGCTCTACCTACTGAATCGGCTCGATCGGGGCTCCATGGTCGTCAGAATCCCAGCTCTCCTCGATAGCGCAGCGAATATTGTAGACCTGCTGGGGGCGCACTGCCGCCGAAGGATGGGGCGCCGAGCCGTCGCCGTCCATTGCCTCGAGGACAGCGCGCGCATACGTGGGAAGGCGGTGGGTGTGCTGTAGGTGCGCTCCGCGGCCCTCCTTCTCTTCCCTGGGCTCGGGGCCCCGATGCCGCCCCCATCTCCAAGAGAGCGCGTCCGCGAGGTCGCCGACGGGTCAGTGGCTGCGTCACGCCCAGGCTGGGGGCGCACAGAATCGCCCCCAAGACGAACGCGCTCCGAGACGGGGGTAGGTCCACCAGACTCTGCCCCTGCAGGGGGCTCGCCGTCGACGCGAGCTCCAAACGGAGGCATGCTGTTTTCGACGAGGATCGCTGGTAGCTCGAACCCGTGACCGTGACCATCGGGGGAGTGACGAACGTGAGGCCCCCCTCCTTCAGGTGCGCAGCCGTTGTTGCCGAACAGATCATGTGTACCCTCTGGCTGGGTGTCTGGAAAGTCGCTAGCCATATCCGTTGGGTAATTACGCAACACGAAACTGATGCGGTGTGCAGATCTGCCGACTTGAACCAAAACTGAGTACGGACATCGGGCACTGGAACCCGCTCCCAGACATAGTCTATCATTCAGGCGCAAGCAAACCGCACTGAACGCCCACGCAGACGCAGATGGCCCCGGTTAGCCAGAGACGCTGGTCCCACGCAGTTCCCAAAGTAGTGATGTGACGGGCGCCTCGTTTGATGGTAGCGATAATGATGTTTTAGCTTTCAGATATGATATTAATGCGTGCGTCAAGCACACCAGATTTCGCTGACATTCGGTTCTAATGTTTGGGCGGCTTCCCGCGGGGGTGGCAATATCTGAAAACACGGGCCTGGTGCACGCGCAGCGATCATATCGCACCCAACTCAACCTGAGACTTAGGGCATACGGCGACAGGCTTTGGGCTGTCATTCCCTTGGGTGCTAAACCCTGGGGCAACCTTCAATCATTATCCTCCGTGTCTTGCTAATCCCAAATGTTCATCCCCCTCCTTCGCCTCCTCCTCCATCCACTCCTCCTCATGGCGCAGTACTAGTAAATAGTGATGTCCGATGTGCGCGGCGCCACCGACGCGCGCGCGGGGGAGCCGGCGCGCGGAACCTGGCGCGTGGAGCCATGCGCGTGGCGCGTGGAGCCATGCGCGTGGCGCTCTTCGCCTGTAACGCTTAGCGCGTCGCCCTCTGCGCGTGGAGCCAAACCGAAGGCCAAACATGTGAGCGCGCGGCCCTCTGCGCGCGGAACGCATAAGCACGTGGAGCGGCCCCGCGCGCGTGGAACCCAACATGTGGGGCCCGTTGCGCGGGGGGGAGGGGCGCGCGCGGGCCTCGCTGCGTCGGCCACGGGAGGGGGCAATGCTGCATCTGCGCCCCAACGCGTGAACCCCTCGGCGCGGGGCCGCCTGCCTCTCAGGGGCAACGCGGCGGCACCCGTTGGGCGGGTGGCCTTAGGTGGGGCAGAAAGCATTGCACCAGCTCATGGGACATGCGCGCGGTCAGCACTCTACCTAAAGCGCGCAGCACGTTGCATTCTCATCTCGCGACGCCCAGCCGCGGCATTAGGGCGGCGCGTCCTGCGCCGCAGAAGTATGCGTGGAGTGCGCGGCTCGGGTGAAGCGCAGGTGGGCGGACACCTCAGGGGGGCACTTCGTTGGGGGCGGTTGGTGGGCTCGCCCCTGCAGCAAGTTCGATGAATACCCCCTTGGCTGTACTATCAGGCACCCACGTGGTGTTCGGGCCGCGCGTCGAACACGCCTGTGCTGCGCTCTCTGTGCTGTGCCCCACAGAAGGCATCTACCCTCGGGGCCGCTCCTCGGCGACGGTGCACACTTTGCTGCGCGGCACGCGTGCGCGCGCGCCCATTGTTCGGATGTGCCCCTGGGGGTCGCGCGGGCAAGCCCTCTCGGCCGCGCCGCTGCAGCATTTCATTCTGCGGCGCCCCTCATCGTAGAAGTGCGGGCTGCAGTCCTTTTCGCTGCTGCCTAAGCGAACGTTGTTCGGTCGCGCCACGCCGCAGAGAAATGCTGGCGGCGCTCGCGGGCTGGCTGATGCGGGTTCGCATCTTCGAACCGCGCTGGACCCTCTGGTACTGCATCGCCGTGCCCTTTGGGCTGTGCCCATGGGTGGGCGCGGGCGTGGGAGGGCGCGGGGGGGCCGATGTCCCCCGCGCAGAATGCGCGGCGGTGCCCTCTCAAAGCGAACCGCCGACGCCGAGTAGCAGGCGGGCGGGCGGCCGGGCGGCGCTTCGCGGCGGCGCGCCATTGGAAAATGCTGACATCCTGGTCACGGCGGTCGCCCCCCATATGCACGTGGACGGCGCGCTTTGCGCGACGGCCCCCATGGGCGACGCTGCCGCGGGGGCCGCCACTCGCAGACGGGCGGGCTACGCCTCGGGCGCGCGCGGGCGCTTCGGGCGCGCGCGGGCGGCGCGCGCGTTTTAGCGCCTGCGCAGCAACGCGCGTGACCCGCGGCGCCAACCCGATAAGAGTTGGGCGCCCTCTATGGCTCGAGCGCCCCAAGCGCGCCCGCTACGCTCGCAATTCAGGCGCGAGCGTGCAGCGGCCTCTGGGCCGCTCAAAGCAGCGCCGAAGGGCAAGCCACCCTTCTCGCGCCAGAATGCCACGCGAGGGCGGGGCGGTGCGGGGCGGTGGGTGCACGCGTGCTCGCGAGCACCTGCGCGCGGCGCGCGCGGCGGCGGCGTTTGCTCGGAAGGGCGGTGCGAGGGGGGGGGGGGTGCTGGAGGCGGAGCGGGGGGGGGGGTGCGCGGCGGGCGGCGCAGGG